AACTTGATGCATGTTCTCTCTGAGACATGTTCTGATAGTTAATATGAATGTAAAAACATAGAAAAAAAAATAAAACATAAACATGAAATATAAAATGCAAGGTATGCAATGCATGATGTATGTAATTTAGAGGCATTGATACAAAAAAAATGTCTATTATTATAAATAATCCTTATTTAGAAAAAATATTTTATCTTTTCAGAGACATAAAAACAATCAAAGGTACATCTAGACTAAATCCTCTAGACCCCGAACATCTTTTAGTAGGTTGACAAGTCTTCTGCCTTTATCTGTCAATGGTTGAATGCCTTATCGAACCACTCCAGCTTCCCGTGCTAGGCCGTGTAGATGACGGGCTGCCTTCTATACTTGATCCAGGAAATCTCGGATGACTGTGTCTCTGGCCTTCACCCTTTGTTGTGCTTGCTCCTAACGGAAACGTCATTGTAAACCTCTGTCAAAGGGAACTATCTGAAGCTCACTCGCATGTTTCTTGAACCCATCTATAATAACTTCTAACTCAGCTATTGTCTTGATATCTCTCTCATGTTGTTTCTCTAGATCAGCCACCAGGATTCTCAAGCGTTGGTTATGATGTTGATTATCTACTAAGTGCCTCTAAGCAGTCTTCAGCTGTTCCTTCCAAGCTCTTTCATCAGGCCCCTTGAACTTCCTTTTCAGACTGTGAGCTTCGTCTTTCCATTATTCAGAGGTTACTTTCAACTTGGAGTTATCATTTACTTTATCTTGATACCCCTTTCTCAAGTCTTCGAGCTCGAAACGGTTTTGCTTTTGTTCCTTCTCCAGATTGCCTGCTCGATATTTCTGAGTGTCGGCATCTAGCTTCCACTGATAGCGTTCAGCTTCAAGTTTCCTTACCTTCTGCTTTAACTCATTATTCACAGCTTCAAACTCTGTCTTTGCTAGCTCAAGCTCGGAAAGGACAGGCCTGAGATATTTTTCCATAGTCCGGGTGTCCTCACAGTCTGGCACCGGGATGTTGTCGTTTTTCCTTAATCTTCGCCACTCCAAATAATCTGGAGTAAGCATATCTTTGGCAGCCACGATATCCATCCGGAACACTTTCTTCCACGACTCAGCTACCTCTTTGATCATCTTTTTGTAGTTTTCTCCATGGTACATAAACTCTGATCCAACTAGTCCATATGTTGCTGGGATAAACTGACGTGCCCATATTATCTAAAGCAGAGAATATCCAACTCCACCCCATAGTCCAAGTAAGGTCATAGTATCAGAATCCCCACACCGAAAAAGAATGTCATTGAGGAACAACCAGGGGCTCTTTAGGCAATATCCCGGTCCTGAAGATGTGTGAAGACTTTCATCCATTTCTCTTGTGAGGCACCTTCATGCCATTTCAAAGTGATGAGTTCACCTAAAGGTTAATAATTGGTACTGAATCGGCGATAGGAAACCTCGTTAGTCTTCCAAAAGTGGCTGTGAATCCAGACTTGAAGGAGCTGAGCACACCCAATGAACCTTCCTCTGCCAGTTCTTCTGTAATGGTTGAGAGATCAAAAGGTCTCGGCTAAGATGGGCGGTGCTGGGTTGACTCGCCTCGAAAGTTGTTCAAATAGTTCCACCACGGCTGCGTCGATGCACCCTAAAGTCTTCGAAAAGATAACCAAACCGTACAAACCCAGTGCAAAAAGGTTTATAATCTTCCATTCATCAGGGTGGTTCTTCATTAGTTGTTTGATGTCAGCCCAAGGAATTCCTTCCTCGGTACCTCTGCGATGAGTCTGATCAGCTACCCATTTCTCGTCTACTCCCGCGACTTTGGCCAACCCATTTTTGAAGGGTTGACTTTTGATATGCTTAATATAGGCTCGCTCCAGTCTGATGCTTTCACAGTGTAGCAACGTAGCATACTCTTCGATGGTGGACACCATGTCCTCCCGGTTAAAGGTGAAGCAGCTGTATCTCAGATTCCAAAATTTAATCAAGGCTCTGATCAAGGGCTCGTCTATCTTAACATGGAGTAGGAGTGCGATATCACCATACCGTTGGCTGAACTTCTGCTTTTGGTCACCTTTCTAACTGTCCAAAATACTCTGTAGTTCTTGGACATCGTTCTGCTTCAGGCTGACAGAGACATAGCTGACCAGTTCTGACACATAGCTTCCCTGAAGACTGTCTCCCTTCTCTCTCTGAGTCTTCTCGGACCATAGTCGTGCCTTGGCATTTTTTTATCTATTCTATTACAACACCTTTGTCCATTAATTCAGATTATTTGGGTATAACAAACACTGTTTAGGGATCAATAGCCACTTTTATGATGCAAATGCTAAAAAACAAACACGAAAGCAAAAAGTTAGTAAAAATAATAAAAGAAATATAAACGATGAAATAAAGAAAGAAAAGTATAAAGACAAATAAGCAGCATGGTTAGAGTAAAAATGTCCTAGGGTTTGAAATGGGGTTTTAGGGTAGGCTCTATTTCTCCATAGTCTCCCGGTTTAGGTTCTAAAAAATAGTACCCGAGTTCTCCTTGCCGATGCCCCCTTGGGCCTGCCAGACCTTTAGTCCTAAGCCCATTACAAGCTTGTGTGGACTAAGTTAAACTCGAGAGAAAACATTCCCTTATGCTTATACGGAGAATAAATTCATACGAAAGCATAAGGAATATGAATCCCGAAGGTTACTTTCTAGGCCCATACGGAGAATAAATTCTCATGGGAGCGTCGCTTTCACCCCCACTTAGATGAAAAAAATCTTTAAAGGATGAAATCATTAGAAAAACAGTTAATACAACTATTTACTTGAAAATATAATCAAAAGTAAGCAATAAGGATCGAAATGTTACCTTAAAATTTAAACTTACCATTTTCGTTAAGAAGACAACTGGAAAATACCTTAGCCTGACCCACTTACCTGTTTCCCCAGTGGAGTCGCCAAGCTACCGGAACCGTCTTTTGGGTGGGCTCAGAATTGGGATTCGACTTAGGAAAATGGATTAGGAGTCGCCACCGATCATTATTTTAAAACAAATATGTTGATCATACCTTTATTTCTTACATGATTTGCGGTTTATCAGTGATATTTCGGATTCGGGAGTCGATTATAGTCAATGAAGGGTTAGCACCCTTGAACTGCCCTTTCGGTACAACGTAATTTTCAGTTGTCTTTAAAAAAATTATAAGTTTAAATTAAAAGGTAAAATAGCGATCCAAAACTTACCTTTGTTTGATTGAAAACGTACCCTTTAAAAGTCAAAAGATGTGTTAGATTGGAAAAAAATAATAAAGAAAGTAAAACGAGTGAAATAAGGAAAGTAATAAAAAAACATAAATAAGATAAAAATAAAGTAAATGATACAAATGAATAAAATAAATAAAATGAAGAAAAATAATAATACTAATATATACATAGCAAACAACTAAATAACAATAAGAAGATAATGTAAATAAATAAAACAAATAAAAGGGAGATAAAAGATAAAAGTAGAGAATATAAAAAATAAAAGAAAATAATAAATAAAACATAAAAAGAAAAAAAAAGATATATATATATATATAAATAAGTAAAATTATAATAATAAAAATGTAAAATACAAAACCAAAAGTAAATATATATATATATATAGGAAATAAAATAGGAGATATAATTATATATATATAATAATAATAATACAAACGATAAAATATATATAATAAAATTAATGAAACGTAATATATATATAACAAAAATAATAAGAAAAACAAATAAATAAAGAAAATTAAAATTTAATAGACGAACTGAAGTTAGCAGGGGTTAAATTGAAAAGAAAAGAAAATCGAGTGGCCAAATTAAAAGAGAATTGGGGTTTAAAAATCGATTATGGGGGTCAAAATAGAAGTTTTAAAACCAGAGGGATCAAAAGGGTAGTTTACCCTATTTATCTCTAAAACACGCGGATCCTATGCTCTTTGGGTCGGGTCGATGGGTTGGATCGGGTTAGGTATTTAAGCCAACTTTCTCTCTTAATTTCACATTTCCATCACTTTAAAAAAAACCCATATGCTCTCAATTGTTCTTCGGCTATGAAGAACAAAACCCCAAATCCCAGATTCCAATCACCATAGCCGCCTCGCCGCCGCTGTTCATCGGCGGCAAAATTTGATTTTATTATTTGTTTTTTGAAAGCCCATCTTCTCCTTGTTTTAAAAATCCGAATAGTTTTTAAAAAACACAAGCCTCGGGGCTAGATCTACAAAAATAGATCTCGAAAACACCCCCATTCATCGGCCAAAAATGCTTCTCTCGATTTTCTATCGAATTAAAACACAGCAAGGGTAAGGAAAAACAACATGCATAGGTATGAACTTTACCTTTCGAAGTATAAATGCTTCGAAAAATGGCTACGAGTTGCTTGAAATTTTGCTTGTTTATTTCATATCATTTGTGTCTTACAAATGGATGATTACATGTTTATTTATACTAAAAAACGCATGCTATTTTTAGCCTAGTTTGAGTCCTAATCAAACTCTAACTCTTGTTGTTTTGCATGTTGTGGTGGGTTGTTGATGTCTCATACGTTCACGTCGGTTGGAGGCCGAGAAAGGCGGGTTTGTTGCGCGTGAGAAGCGGTCATGCAGCCGTGAGACGTGAAGCAGAAGGGGTCCTCTGGTATCTTGTTGCGACGCTGGTGGAGAAGTTGTTAGGGTTTGAGAACCCTAGCTGATCTGGGTTAGGGGTGCCACGGGTCTTGGGCTTGCGTGGTGTGGGCCGCACGTGATGTTGGGCAGCTGGGTTGGACCCATTTCTATAAAAAACCAGAGCTTGAATTAATATGTATGCACAATATAATGTGTTATTTAATTATAGTATGTAACCTAGTATGTATTTATTATATAATACATATACATTATATACCATAAATATTATCACATTAAATGCCATGTAATAGCATTGCACAAAAAAATGTGTGTTATGCAACGTAAAATATATTCTTTAATAATGCTAATCCAAGGGACAAAATTTGGTGTCTTTCACCTGGAAATAAGTTCTCTCCACCAAATGTTAAATCTTGGAGAACTTAAAACAATAATGTATGGCCCATATCTCATGGTTGAACGCACCGACTATCATCTGGCATGAACACTGGTAGGGGATCGACCAACTCTCTCGCAGCCGATGTCATCTTCTACTTCACTCCCGTCTAAACAATTCCTGTTGTTATTTATGCTAAGCTCTGAACTACCATTACTGCTTGTAGCAAGAGGGGAGTCTGAGACATTAATTGTTCTGCCTCTTGAATGACCAGATCTCACACTTACATAGATGATGCAGGAATATTCGTCATCAATGGCCGCAAATTACCAGGAATGCTTCGCCTTATATCCTGTTCAAGACAGTATTCAAATCAGAGAAAGAATTAGTTTCGTCCTTTCCCTCGACCTTCAAATTACTAACATATTGTCCTATGAGAACCCAACACTTTTGACAAACGTAAACAGAGGAGTAACCATGGCATCCACATCCAAAATTGACTTTTTGGGATACCTTGACAACAAGATATTCAGATTATTTTACTCTAATTTGATGGATCCTAGTTTGAAAACTTTTAAAAGATAATGCCACGGAAAATTTTAGGAGATACACTTACCATATCCAGTGATTTCTTTGAAAGTGTTCTTCCAAAGCCTGAACTATCTGGTGATTCAGATTTCGTGGACGAGTTACCGTGGAGAGAATGTTTATCATCTGGCTTGAGTGGTGCCAATTTCCGCATGTTTATCACCCTCTCAACCATTTTAGTTCCAATAACAACAGGACTCACGTTGTCACTAACTTTGGAATATCCACGACTTACTGCAGGTACAGAGCTGCCACTTAAATGCATGTTACCATTTGGGAGACGTCCTCCTGAAGGAGAGCATGATTGCCGTCTTGATCTACCAATGGCACCCGGTTCAACAGAAGAAGATCGAGCACTTGGGGCCCTAGGCCTACCTCTGGTGGCCGCAAGTTTGTGTTTACAAACGCCGCAAGTTTATAGTTTCTAAATCCCGCGCCCCTTTAACCGTTTTTCATTTTTCCTCTTCATCTATTTTTTTCATTCCCTCTGTTTACCCAAACCCATTTGCTGCTGCTTCTACAATGGAAGGCTCTTTTTCTCAGCCTTTCAATCATCATCAAACAGCGTCTGGCACCTCCAAGTTTCTCTCCAACCTTCACTCTCGCGGCCACCTCTCTGTCGTCATCTCCTCCAATCTGGTTTTTACCCATTTCTTCTCACTCGCTTATTTAATGAATTTCATTTCCTTTTAAAATGTTCTGGCTCTTAATACTTTGATCGGACGTGAAAATGCTTTGTGATTTCATCTCAGCTACTTGGTGAACAAGAATGAAATTCGAATGAGAAAGGAAAACGGGAAGATCTATATTTGTTGTCCTTAATTTCATTTTATTGTTTTCGTTTCTTCCCCTTTCAAATCCGAGGGGATGCTGATTTCTTCATTAATTTTGATTCAGTAAGAAAACTGAATCTGAAACCGCTACTTCCTTGCAAAATTTTCCTTTTTAAATATTTATGGATTTGATTATGTTATGGAAATGACGGGGAAACTTGTTTTTTGTTTCCTCTCTGGTTTACTGTGATTATTTTGTTTGAAATATGCTCCTTTTCAGTTGCTCATTTTTCTTTGATTTCTTTGATTTATTAATCAAATAACTTTTTCTTTCTTACTTTTTTCAAAGTTCTAATTATTCTGAAAAGTGAAAGAAGATTAGTATTAGCAGTTGTGATTCCTTTGGTTGGTGTTTCTTTCTGTTTTCAACTTTTTATTCTTATGAAAAAAGGAGTATTAAGAATTGCATTGGATGCAAAAGAATGCACAGTTTTCATTAATTAAAAAATATTTTTGAGTACAAAATTCTCTAATGGAGAACAAATTGTTAGGGTCTCCACTTGGAATTTTTTTTGCAAAGTGATAAACAACAAAAACGCATTTTGAGGCACATTTGAGCAGTTGCATGCTTATAGTCACATTTGGTATATAGTTCAACAGGGAAAAAGTTTTTTATTCTTATTTTCTTAAAGAGTTTTCTGCTTATAGGTATCATATTACACAACAACAACAACAAAACCCAATTCCCATATGCAATGGGGTAAGGGGGAGGTAGGGTAGTAGCCTGCCCCCAACGCCAGGTTGAGAGTAGCTTCCGTGGAAGACCTCCGACAGTCAGAAAATTAAAAATATAGATAAAATGCAATGCATGTATAAATAAATACATAGTTGAACAGTATTCATATGCAGTCATTAATATCATTAATATCATATGCGCGTTTGTACTTCTTCAGTAATCCCTGCAAATAAATCCCTGCGAAAAAATCTCTGCATATAGACATGAACGTAAGACCCGACTAAATTTAAATGTGAAGAGAATGTTACACAGAAGTCAACGATAGCAAGCCCTGTTCTAAGCCTTCATAAATACCAATAACAGAAACGTATAAAAAGTAGAAGTCATGGAAATTACTACAAAGGCATTAAAAGAAGATAGAGATGATACACCCTAGAGATGTGACCCACACTACTCGACTACCCTAGTTTTGAGTCTCCATACTTTCCTATCAGAGGTCATGTCCTCGGTAAGGACTAAATCCATCAAATCAGATCTCAAGCAGTCTTCCCACTTCCTACTTGGTCGTCCTCTCCTTCTGGCACCGTCGACTATAATAGACTCTACCCTCCTGACAGCATCCGACGGTAGTCGCCTAAGGACATGCCCAAACCACCGTAGTCTTCCCTCCCTTAATTTTTCGGAAACAGGCACCACCCCAAAGGACATCCTAATAGCAGAGTTTGTTGTCATATCCCATAGAGTCCTACCGCATGTCCATCGAAGCATTCTCATTTCTGAGGCCTCTAGCCTCCTTACATGATCCTTCTTGGTTGCCCAACATTCTGATCCATACAGTAGCGCTGATCTTATTGTCATTCTATAAAATTTTCCCTTAAGTTTTTGAGGTACCTTCTTGTCACACAAAACTCCAGTAGCAGCCCTCCACTTTAGCCATCCCGCCTTTATACGGTGTGTAACGTCATCTTCTACACCCCATCTTTATGTATCATAGACCCTAGGTACTTGAAACAATCCTTTGAGGGGAGAACGTGTCCTTCTATGCATACTTCTACATCTTCATCGTTTTGGTCCCCACTGAAGTTTGAACATAAATACTTTGTCTTTTCAATATTGATCCTTAGACCTTTTTCTTCCAAAGCAATCTTCCAGGTAGCCAGTCTACTATTCAACTCAGATTTTGTTTCAGCAACTAGGACAATGTCGTCAGCGAAAAGCATAAACCATGGTACACCATCTGGTGTCGCACAATAGATGTCGTCCATAATCAAGGCAAAGATGTAAGGGCTAAGAGCCGACCCCTGGAGTCTGATTTCCACTGGGAATGCCTCAGTGTTGCCAACTGTAGTCCTGACGTGTGTAGTAGATCTACAATACATATCACAAATCGCCCGGATATAAGCAGTTGGGATCCGTCTCGTTTCCAAAGTCTTCCAGATCGTATCTCGGGGAACGCTATCATAAGCCTTCTCAAGGTCAATGAACGCCATGTGAAGATCTCTAGACTTTTCCCTATATTTCTCCATAAGTCGTCGAAGTAGATGAATCGCCTCTGTGGTAGACCTGCCTGGCATAAAGCCAAATTGGTTTTCCAAAACCCTAGTAACTTGTCTCAACCTAGCCTCTATCACCCTTTCCCATAGCTTCATGGTATGACTGAGTAGTTTAATATCTCTGTAGTTACCACAATGTTGGGGATCTCCTTTATTCTTATAGATTGGTATCATATTATGATATTGTTAAATTTTTCTTTGTTCTTCTGTGCAGTGAAGTAATTGAATCAGCTGATATAGAGTGGGAAAATCTTGGATTTAGGTTTATTCCTACTGATTACATGTATATAATGAAATGTACTCAAGGTGGAAGCTTCTCTAAAGGTGAATTACAAAGGTTTGGGAATATTGAATTAAGCCCTTCAGCTGGAGTCTTAAATTATGGACAGGTTTCATTTCTTAACTTTAAGCCCCAGTTTATCTTTATCTTTTGCTTGTATTTAATGTTTCTGTTCAGTTGTCATGCATCTGTTCTTATTTGTAAATGCTTACAAGTGAAGCTAGTTATATGCCTACATATGTGATATGGCCTCTTTCATAACCATCCCTCTAAAAATGAAAAAGAAAGCCCATCATGCATGATATTCGCTCTAAGATAATTTGCTGTTGAGGCCCATTTAAATTTTAACACATAATTTTTTTTAATTTATCTTTATGCTTCGCGATATAGCAGTTCTCTTTTCTGTCTCTCCCATCATGATTTTTTGGTTTGTTCCTCTAGGGGTTATTTGAAGGTCTGAAAGCCTACAGGAAAGATAACACTGTTCTTCTTTTTCGTCCTGAGGAGAATGCTCTCCGAATGAGCAGGAAGCAGAAAGGATGTGTATACCATCACCCATTGTGGAGCAGTTTGTGGAAGCCGTAAAGGAAACTGTCTTAGCAAACAAACGTTGGGTAACTAATAGTTTTGATTTGGAGCATGAGTTTGGTTTGCAATTGGCTTTACCTATTTTTTAAGTGAAGTTTTAATTTCTCCTTTCAGGTTCCCCCTGTTGAAAGTCAAAATCCATTCGGTGGGTAGGCAGCTGATTTTGTTGAAGCGTCGAATGGTTGGTAGCTGATTTTTGTTGACATTGGGTAAGGGAAAATTATTAAATTTAGTCTCTTTATTTTAGGGTATTTACAAGATTAGTCCTTAAACTTCAACTATAAATATCCTAACCTATTTAGATTCAAAACCATTCCAAATCATTCTAGCTTTCTTCCAATACTAGAGAATTTAAAGAGTTTTCTTGAGAGTTATTTTCTCCTTTTTATCAAGAGAGAATTGTCATTGTTTTCTCATTGTTAGATCGAGAGAAGTTGTAATTCATATTTTCTCATTGCCCGTGATTTTTATCATATATTATTTAGGGGTTTTTTACGTAAAATTTGTGTATTCTTTATCTTTATTTTTATTTTCTCAAATTATCAATTACGATTTTGCTCTATCCGATAGTCGTATTCCACAACACCCCCACCAGGTAAAGGTTCTTTGTACATCAGGCCATTGCTCATGGGAGTGGAGTTGTCCTTGGTCTTGCACCTATTCCTGAATACACCTTTCTTATTTATGTCTCACCTGTGGCAAACTATTTTAAGGTTTATTACCTTCGTTGCATGATTTTTGGTTATTCATAAGTTGTATAATTTGCTTTAAGGTTTTTCTTACATTACCATCTACAAACATATATATGGTAACTTGGAAGGTTTACAGTTCTATCTCCATGTGCAACCCTAGAAAAAAGATATTATCATGACTTTGTATGCAAAGTAAGTACTTCAACGCATTCAAATAGAAAAATGAGATGCTACTTTATCTAGAATATTGTTCTACATGTAGATATCTTTATTGTGCGAGAGACTGGTTTAACCATAAAGTTTGATTTATATTTTATGTTAATGTAAACTTTGATTTATTATTATGGATTTCAAGTTTCTTATTATGGATTTCAAGTTTGTTGTTATGGTTGTCAAGTTTATTAGATAATACTACAGGTTAAATTTGGGTAACAAAAGAGTAGAAAACAACATTTGAAAAATTAGTTTTAATTTACGGTGTTTGTATAAAAAAAGACACTAAATACATAGTTAATATTGGCGTTTTTGAAAAAAGCCACTAAAGTTCTATATCTTTTGCGGCGTTTATACAAAAAACGCATCTATATACGTAGTCAATAGCGGCGTTTTATATTCACAAACGCAACTATATGAAATAACATTTAGCGGCATTTTGGAATCAAACGCCACAAAAGAAAAGATAAATAGCGACGTTTGAAAAAAAACGCCGCTAAATATCATTACCTTTAGCGCGTTTGTAAAAAAGCCACTAAAACCTTTAGCTACGCTTGTGGACGACAAACATTGCTACCTTTTGTTCCGTTTGTTTCAGCAGTGCTTTTTGGGTGTTAGTTTTTGCTCAACAAAGGTTTTTCGGCGATGAAAAACGTCGCTATATGACTAAAAAACGCCGCTAAAAACATGTTTTATTGTAGTGGTTGTTCTTAAATTTGGTGGAGTATCAAGCAAGAAACCAGGCATCTCAGAAGTCTTCCATGGTCTAGATGCTACCATCGGAGGGGCACCACGTGATGGCACAAAATTTCTAGAGGCTGTAGGAGTTGGCTTTGTAACTGAAGAAGATGCTTTAGCTGGAGAAGCAGAAATGTTAGTACTTGATGGTGTTGATGGCCGACGAGTTGGTGTAGTAGCTCTTGATGAAGGTTTGGATGAAGGTATAGGTCTTGCAGTTGGTGTCGAAGACCTCACTGTGGACCTTGTTGGTGTGGAGGATCTTGCAGAAACTGTGAGCTTAGTAGCTGGAGACAGACTCTTGACTGCAGAAACTGTGGGCTTTGTTGACGAAGTTAAAGGTTTTGTTACAAGCTTTGCTGCAGATGTCACAGGCTTAGATGCAGAAATTGATGGTGACTGTAATGTGGCCCGGGACGTTGGTGTTGATGATCTCGCAGGTTTAGATGCAGTCAATGTAGGGCGTCGGGTGGGTGTTGCAGGTCTTGAACCTGGACCCCCAGATGATGAAGGCCTCCGAGTCCCTGTGGAACTCAATCCCGGTGATAAAGCTGGTTGATTCAAAGCTAAGTTGCCCCTGGCAGCAGATTCGGGCTGGGGATTTGCTAGCTATAAACACAATGAAAAAAAAACAAAGCCAATAAGTTCATGAATCCAGTGATCAGAACACCAAAAGGTATAAAAAATATAACAAAACCTTGGAATAACGTTTACCTGGATTTTCTTAAAAAATATAAGAAAAATACAGGTCATCCATCATATTTTAAGACTTGAAATTACTTTTTAAATTTGGGCATTAATGATAGTTACTCCAGCTAAGGTGCAAAAAAGTAGTAATTCACTTTAAATATTATTTATTTCCAAGATATCAGGCATTTATCCTTGTTGGGTGTAGATACAAAAATGCGCCTTTCAGTTATGCAGATTCCTGACATACCCTGATCTAAAATCATTATTGTTAATAATCATATTTCACAGCAAAATGGCTAAGACAAGGCTAAGTTTTACTAAAAATGGAAATCAAGTAACTTCAAATGTCCATATAAATTGATGTATCATGTACTAGAATAATCCAAACTTCTCAAAATGTATGCAATCAAAATTATAGCATCAAGAAAAAAAAATTACGCACACTAGATTTCAAGGCAGTCGAACGGAGTGCCAATCTGACTCATTACAGTCTTTTGTGAGTCCATCTCCAAGGAGGGAAACAGAGGAGTACCTGGAGGTATTAAAAGCCTGACAAGTAAGACAATTCCTGTTAAAACTGTTATATTACAAGGAAATAATTTAACTTGGTTACATTCATGTAGGAGAAAAAGGACTAGTACAAAGCCGACGGAAGTGAAGGACCTTAAAGCATCTTTCAGACCCAACACTACAAGAACTTCCCAGTTCAGTCCTGGTATACGGACCTTTCTATTTATATAAATGCATTGAAATATAATTACAAAAGTAATCTACGAATTTGTTATCTAAACATTTGGTCTCAGTTTTGAACATTCAACTTGTTTGAAAATCTGGAACTTAACATTTTAAAGCAACTAGCCTAGATTTGTATACAAAGTAGCGGCTACAATCTACAAACTTATAATAGATTCATGAAATATTATGTCTGGATCTGACAAAATTGGAGCAGAAAAGGACATGGAACCATGAGAAAGAAATGGATCAAGTTTTTACCAAGGAAAAATAATTCAACCCAATCCAAAAGAACTAGGAAAGTGAAGTTAGAATCCCCAATAAAAGACTGCAAGTAACTCATCTGAAGAAACCACTACAAATCATCATCAATACTTTATTTAATGCCCATCACAACCATCAAATTAATAACTTTAATCAGTAAAACATGTAACCAATAACCATAACCCTTCTTTACTTGCATTACATGAAAGGTGTTATAGCAGTAGATATAAGAGGTTCAATCAGTAGAAGCTATCTCAAAACCTTATTGTCTATGCTATGGCTTTACATGAAAAATCTGGGGTCAGCAAGTATGGCAGTTGCCGTCATTTTCACCATCCAAAGAATTTGTTCTCATGACTATTTTATAGTCTCCGTTCGGCTCCCATGGAACAACTTCCGAAAGGATTAAGTAGTGGATTACGGCATACACACGTGTAGTGACTAGTGAAAGAGCTTGGTTGTATTTATAGCAAAACCTAGCAGAGCGAAGAAGAAAAGGAAAAAATATAGAAATAGAAAGTTGAAAAGTCAAACAAGTGGAAATTTTAATTTAAAATGTCATGTCACCACTTTGTTAGTAAATTAACCAAAGAGTGACTAAAAAAGTTTAATTATTGAAGTTTAGTTAATAAATTGATTTTTTTTAATTTGAGTGACTAAAATAGGAGTGAGAAGAAAGTTAAGTGTTGATTTGTGTAGTTTACCCCTTTTAAAATAAATTTTTTTCCTATTTACTTATGCTTTTTTGCATTCATGCCCCTCCACTCCATTATTTTTGCTTTCTTCACCATCCCCATTCTTAGGCCTTCCATCTTATTCAAGTTTGTGGTCATCGGTACCTTCATTTTAGCTACAAATTCTTAGGATTTAAGTATACAATTTTCTAATTTTTTTTAAATAAGCATTATATCTAAACTCACGCATACAGGCTGCATTGCTCAAACTCGAATCATCAAAGGAAAAACAAGCTTCCTTGAACCATCGGAACGACTCCAAAGGTTCAACAAATTTCTATTTATGATTCAAATAAATTATTTATATTTAAAGATTCTAATTAGATTCGAATCAATGAATTCAAACATTAAGTTCATATAATAATTAAATATATCCTATTTAATTTTTAAGTTATATTTTAAAAAATTGTGATCGGCTCGAAGGTTGTACAGTTTGCAATCGACTGAGATTTACGTTTGGCGGCTGAAAATCTTGAAAAATGTGATAGTTGAGGGAGACGCCATCTTCATTGTCAGTCGATTAGCAAACTCACACAAAAATATTTCTAAGGCCCATGCAATCCGAACCTCGGATGTGAACCGAGAGGCCAAAAATGTAGCATACTTTCTTGTTCATTGGATTTTGTTATGTTATGAAAATGTATTTCAAACGATGATACTATTCCATGTAAATACAAATACATATTATTATAAAAAAAATTTGAGGTAGAATCAATTAAAATATAATATAAGATTCGATTTTTAATAAACCAAAAACACATTAACCACTCTCATTGTTTTAACCAAACCGCCACCTCTACTATAATATTATTTGAACGGAGATTTCATCGCCATTTTTATTAATAATTTGCCCAAACTTAAATGCAACCATCGAAAGATTTATATTCAACTCTAATTTCACTTCAATTTTAAATTCGATCTACGAAAAACTCCAAACCCCTCTCCCAAATTGACCACAAAAATATCAACCCAACATTTAAAAGTATAAACTACACATTTAATACCTAAATTATCAATTTTAGTCCGTTTTAGTACTTAAACTTTTAATTTTTTCAAAACCATACCTAACATTTTATTTTTTTATTTCATTTTAGTACCATGCCGTTAAAAACTTAACGCATTTAGTATCTAAACTATCAGTTTTTGCCCACTACAATACCTAAACTTTCAAATTTTTTTAAAAATACTTAACATTAAATTCTTAATGTGGGTTCTAAAATGAAACAAAAATTAAATATTTGGTCTGATTTTGAAAAAATTGAAAGTTTAAATACTAACGGACTAAAACTAATAATTTAGGTACTAAACGTGTAGTTTACCCAATTTAAAACCCCTGCAACTAGAAAAAAATTAACCCTAGTTTGCCAGAATGTGAGCTTGAATGACTTGTGTAAATAATAGCAACACTTAGAACAAATCAAGTTACTAACTATATGTTGATAACATGATGTTACTTGAATGCAACAAACAAGATTAGAGTCGCTCTCATAATATGCCTCTACAATACCTGAATTGGATAATGGTGTGTATATAAAAAATGCAAGTTATTTTAGCCCCAAAAAAGCAAGTTATAGCATTCTGGGTAACGACAGATATCCTACTACAAGTCATCAAAATCAACACCTGAATCTTCAATATTGCAAATTAAAACATGATATTAAGTCAAATTGTGACAGTAACTAAATCAGAATCAAGATTTCAATCTTTCCTATCATATGTTCTTTAACAGCATGGAAGGTGTTTAAATAAGAAAGCCCTTTTTTTTAAGAATTCAGATTATTTGAATGAGAGATTTTAGGGGGTAAAAGAATGTACAATTGGAATTCATCGGTTTAGTCAAACATCATCTGCATCACTTCCACCAACATGTGTTTCATGGCTAACCCAATAGTGGCTTCCATCAGGACCGGACACCTTAAACCTGCTCAATACCATGATGCAGAAAATCTTTGTTAAGAACTACATTGCTCAATACTATCCTATACCCATGTCCAAAAATGTCTCAGGACATAAAACAGAATCTAAACTTCTCTCAATGTTTCTGATTACTTCACTCACCGTTCAATTACGGATTTTCCTTCCTTGTACTTCTGGTCATTCTCATGGGCAAACTCCTGAAAGAAACTAACCTTGTAACTAATGGGAACAGACAAAGATGCATTAAACCATTGAACTTCGAATACGTAACAGTAAAGCTTACATATTTCCACCCCACATTTGATCCACACCCAATGCAGAAGATTTCCACTACAGTGTGCAACCCTGTCATCATCATTCTATCTTCCTTCTCCCCAGAAGAAACATTCACCCTATCAAATAATGAAAAATTTATCTATGAAAATGAAAACTGCAAAAAACATCAAATCTCATTTCTCAAAAGATGATGTAAGTTGGATTTCAACGAAAGGCATCCTTGACCACCCTAGTCTACTGTTAAGCAGATACCTGTAATCCCTGTCTTGTATTCAAGAGGCTATAGTAACACACATAAGAGGACTTTTGGGCAATTGAAGGCTATTATATTGCTCAAAGTGAACTAAACAAACTGTTAGAATCTAAAATGAATTCGAGAAGCAGAATCTTTCTTATGCATCACACAAGACATTACGAGCGCACCATAGTTGGGCAAAACCCGGATTAATTGTATCGTAATTGAAGTAACCAGCAGCTTATGATATAGGCAATCGTTAAGAGTTGTCGGTCCTGTTCGGTGTCACTGTAGACATATTTGGTATTAATAGGGTGCCCAAAATCGAGAAAACTTACACCTTACTGAAGAGATATGCTTTCCCAAGCCTGCTCTGGAAGGACTGAATGGAAGAACAAAGACAAAAAACATAGTTAGAGACTAAGCTTCTAAGAGAACCCAGAACTAATTTTTTTGGACAATATGAAAATTGTTAAAAACAATGTGAAAGGAAAAAAAGAAAAAAACTCGATAACAATGAACTACGGCAATATACATATGAAAAATACAATTGTCTAATTGTCATTTTAAAACCAAACGTAAATCAATTAGAAGTTTAGCTGTAAAAGCAATCTCCATTACTGTAATTTTAATCCACTAAACCACTTTCACGTCTTAAATCAATTATATGCATTTTAACATTCAAGTGATTGACTTTACTGCATAAGACGGTTCACCATCTTCGTTAAAATAGCATGGCTATTGGTTTCATACTCAACTATTAGTACAAAGTGCCAATTATCACAGACGAATATCGAAAATCTAAGCATCATACTAGTAAACTTGGAAACTCTGCATCTTTAGGAGGATATCACCCTCAATCAGGGACCAACAATGAGAAAGAACTCAACCAGCTGATTCAACTACTTTCAGATTGAGACTTGTTTTTATTTTGTGTTAACCTGGTTTCAACACTATTATTGCATATCATATAACAATACAAAAGATTTCAATTCATTCCCGGTACCAGGTTTTATCTCCTAAACAAGTCCTTTCAAATACAATATACATACACAAAAACATATAATATACACGCATGCGTGTAAATTCATAATTATCCTAAAGTGCCATCATCAGAAAGTGGCAAGCCCTTCCAAAAGACACCCACCTAACCATCTATGCTTAAAAAGAGACAACAACAACAACAAAATACATCTAGATCCTTCCGGTATGTTAACATAGTAGAACCACTGAACTTCCAAATACAAAGCAAACGATTCCAGAAAGACAAACATAGATTATGCATATTTCTAATTTTTCAATCTATTCAATCATGGGGTCTCATCAACTACAAATTTCATCTGAAAAGAAATCTTGAATTAAATACTACTCCTAGTAATAAATCCTAAGAAATTATAAAATGATTGACCGTTAGATATACCCAAATCAAAATCATCATACATAAACTTAGTAAAAACTATGAAATTAAAAATACCCAGATGAAGATTTCGCTAGAAAAAACAGACAAGGGTCGAAGGATTCAAATTTATTAAGTAGTAAATAAAAGAACAACCTTGGAAACAATATCATCAACAAGTGCAAGATGTATTTTGCAGTACATGCAGCTATAGACTTTCCCTTCAAGATTCTCCACAAATAACCTCCCCATCTGTAAACCACACACCAGATCTTCCCAAAACTAAGAAACAAAAGAGGAGAATCAAATTTTGGAAATCGAAAGGGAAAAAAAGATGAAACTTCTGAATATGTGATTTTATTCACACAAAAAGAAACAAAGGGTTGGTGATTGATTAAAATGCTCGTTAGAACTGATGAAAACTAATGTGTAGCATGTGAAATAAAAGAGAAAAAGTAAATTTTTTAAGATAAAAGAAGGAATATTTTAATCGCACGGAAAAGAAAAGGAAAGAAAAAACTGTGAGAATGTTTAATTGTTTAGGATAAAATACATAATAGTCAATGTATACTGAAATTACCATTTTAATTAGGGTAAAATATAATAATGGTCACTGAACTTTTCTAAAGCTTTTACTTAGGTCCTTAACTTTTAAAATTTGCAATACAGTCCTTCAATATTTATTTCGTTTGTAATATGGTCCCCGACGTAACCGGCCATTTGACGCCGTTACACTGTTGTTAGTACGTTTGCAATATGATCACTAAACTTTTCAGGCGATTGCATTTAGGTCCCCCAACTTTTAAAACTTGCAACACAGTCATCAATTTCCAAAACATGTAAAAAATCCAATTCGTTCATGATATATCAATCTCATAATCAACATGAACTTATTAAAAATAATACAAGTCCGCAGGACGCCGAAAACCATAGGTCGGATCAATACAATTTCAGTAAACTAGTACCAACAATCTCTCGGATTGAGTCTGACGATTTTACTATGTTAATAGTCACAACCAATTCCTTGATTTAAAGAAAAACCAAACAAGAAGATAAAAAAAAAAATTAGGCTAGGACCCTCTTTCATTTATATTCATTTATATTCTGATGGACTGAATATATTTCATAAGGAGTACTAAAAGTTTTTATTAAGAAGAAAGAAAGAAAATTATATAGTTTTGGTTCAAAACTAACACTAAATATCCATATCATTGACACGCAATTCCATAAACATAAAAATTTCAACAAAACACACACAATGCGAGCTGAAAATTAGAAAGTGCGAAAGAGGAAAAACTTACTTCCAGATAACCAAATGTAGACACCCGATTTTGACCGACTTAAAAAAATATTATAGATATTATTATTATTATTAAGTGTGTTTACATATTTTCCAGGTCCAAATTACAAGTCTCTCCCAAGACCCAATTACAACATCCAACCAAGCCCAGATCCAGACCCAAAGGGATCCAAACCCGAGGCCCAAATTTGACCCAAATCAGTAATAATAATTTAGGGTTTCTCAACCCTAGAATATTCAGCTGCAGCAGCCAAACATCCCGACTGCCGTAACAGTGAACTCCGACTAGTGCCAGCCTTCTCCAACCATTACAACAGTAAACGCCAAGCAATCTGCAAGCATCCAAAGTTATCATCGTCACTGCTTGTGTCATACAGCAATCGAAATCAAGCAAAAAAATTAATCCACCACAAAATCCACTGAGCATATTTTTTATCAAGCCAAATCTTGAAAAATTTGGTGTTGATATCTACTCTACCACTACTCAGAAAAATCAGAGGAAAAAGCACCAACAAAATCCATTATAAATGGATGCATGCAACCATTTGAAGATGAGGGGGGAGCCGAACCAAAAAAGAAAGAAAAACAGTGGGGAAAGTCGAACAAGAGGAATTTGTAAGAGAGCTTACCAAAGGGGGTGTGGTTCGTTAGAGAACACCAAGACACCGAATTTTGACGTTTCTTCGAAAGGTAAACTTGTAGATCTATGGGTCTAGGAGGGTTTTTAGTCTAAAATAAGTTGATATTTGGCTCAAGGAAAGAAATACGAACCTTTTGATAGGGGTTGGGTCGCACTGACCACCGTGGACCGCCGTGCGCCGCCGTTGGTTGGCGCCAGTGAGTGGCGGTCTTCCCTTCCCCAGTGATGAGAGTGAGAGTTCTCTCACTCTCTCTCTTTGATTTCTTTCAGAAATGAAATAAATGAGAGAATGAAGAGTTGAAAGCCTCATGTTAGGCTTAAATAACCCCCATTAAACGACGTAGTTTTAAGAGGGATCGTTTGGTAATTTTATGATTGCGTAAATTCTGTTTTGGGTCCTTATTACCTTATAATTTTGTGATTCAATCATTAAGTTAAATTTTATTTTATTTAGTTTCGAGCATTTTATTTTTCAGTTATTATGTTTCAGTCCTATTATTACATGATATATTATTATTGTGAATATTTGATTTTGGTTACAATATTTACATTTATTTTATTTTAGCAATTGATTTAATGTTTTATATATTTTCCTTAATGTTCGAATTTAGTCATAATCTTCAAAAATATTTTATTTTAGTCACCATTTAAGCAATTGGTTTAATTGTTGTTTGATCTTTTATGTGTCTGCTAATTTTATTTTAGTCCTTAATACTGTTTAGGGGGTTATTCTTACTTTTAATATAGGTATTATTTGATATTTTGATCTAAGGAATTTGCAATAGATTAATTGATTTCAATTTCAAAGGAAAATTATAAACAAAGTATATAGTTTATTAGTTTATGTGGTCCTTAAGTTTTAGTAATAATTTTTAATAATATTTAATATTATTAATTTATAATATTAGAATATAATAAAAATAAATGAAAAAAAAAACAGTAGGAAGAAAATAACGTTAGATTCAATGATAATTGAGAGTTGAAATATTATGATGACAATTCACCATATTCAATGACCCTGTTCCAATTTTGACATCAATGTCATTTAATATAATTAATTAATTATTAAATGATAGCATATAAGTTAGACACCATAAATTAATGTTGAAGATACAAAGTTTTACCTTCATATTGGACTATTTTTTTCCTTAAAAAGTAGAATAGGATGTAATTATTAAGAATTAGTGGGGGTTTGATTTGATATGTTAGTTGGTATTTGATTCTTAATACTATTTTGGCTGAAAATAAAACCTTTAATTTTACATCATAATTTTATACCTCGGGGTTAGATTACACGGTAGAAATTCTTTTATTTATATTTATGGTTATGTTCTACGAATTTCTATTTTTTTCTATTTTAGTCATTTAAATGTATGTTTTGCTATTTAATCCCTTAAATCTTTGTTTGTTCTATTTTAATCCTTTAAATTCATGTTTTTTGTTAGATCTATTATTCGAGTAAAATGATTTCTTTCATTAATTAATTTGAAGAGAGTTAATCAATATTTAATAAATGGATTATATTTTAACTTGATATTTGATTCATGATTTTCACCATTTACGACAACGTGTAAGTGACACAGTACCAATTTTGGGCGCTGTGGGGGTGCTAATCCTTCCTCACGCGTAACCGACTCCCGAACCCATTTTAATCGAATTTTTGGTAATGCATATCAATTTTGTCTTAAAAACGATTTTTCAAAAAATCATTTTTTTAAAAGGCGTTTTTAGGTATTCGACCTACCTAACCCAAAGGTTGATGGCGACTCTTTTCAATTTATTTCAAATTAATCCAAAATCACCCATTTTCCAAAATAAAAAGTTGTAACTTGTTTTTAAAACATTAAACGATTATCCCCGCCTAAAAACGGTTACGACAGCTTGGCGACTCCGCTGGGGACCTTTTTTTAGAGAGTCAGGCTGTAAGTCGTTTACTCATTGTTGTTGTGGTGGAAATTATGAGTTCAAGTCTTTAGTTAATTTATGATCCTTTTAATTGCTTCATTTTATTATTGTCTTACTAACATTTTTATCTTTGCTTTCAGATCTGTCCAAGTTTTTGTCGAGTGATTTCGCTTTCCTTTTGAGTCAAAGGGCTGAATGTTCCTCCTCACACACATCACGGGCATTTGCATACCATAAGTTCACTTACGAGCTTTGTCCCTTTTAAGTTGAGATGAAAGCTTAACCTACGTGACATAATTTGTTTCTCTGCATGAGTTTTAGCAAGTAATCTTTGGGGTTCATATACCTTATATCTACGTGAGATAAATTGTTTCTCCGTATGGACATAAGGGAATGTATCCTCTCGAATTGAACTCGATCCGTACGAGCCTGTAATGGGCCAGGATTGAGGGTTTGATAGCCCAAGGGGGAACCAACATTAAGGAAAACTCGAGTACCTTTTTCCCGTTAGAGCCAAAACTATGCATATAGTGAACCCTAGATTGGTCACCCTAGGTATAGACATACCGAAGCTTTGATCGTTAATAGGTACCCAAATTAAGTGTACACAAAGGAGGAGTGTTTCTGAACCTTTTTTATTTTCTGTTGAATAACAACATGTGAACTAGATACCATGCAGTTAGGATCATTTCATTGAAAATAATTATTTTGGGTAAAAGCATGTTTGGGTAGGATCACTATCTAATAAAAGCATGACTGGGTAGATATCATGATTGGGTATGTGTTATATTTATCTTTAAATAACATCTTTTAATTTTACTGATTATTTCGCCCATACTAGTTTATTTCTTTTCTTTTGTGTATGCCATTTTTTTGTCATTCTTTGCATTGTATCATTTTTTGCATTTGCATTTGCATCTTCGCATTTGCATTTGCATCTTCGCATTTGCATAATCATCATGAATAAAAGAAAGGTGTTGATTAAACCAAGTAATCATCAGATTAGAAGAGCGATCGTTGAAATGGAAAAGAGTTTTCATAATAAAGAAGAACTCAATCCAGCATTTCAAGCTTAGTTTGAAGAAACAAAAAGGGCAAAAAGATATTTTTTTTGGGGATTTTATATCACAAATGATCACAAATGTCAATCTCAAGCAAGAATGATCTACAAGAGCTGATAGAGATTTGGGAAAGTTGGAGAGTACTTACCAAAGAGAGGTTTTACAAGAAATATAATTACATATCTCGGCTCCTTTATGTAAAAATAGATGAACCATTGCTCAAGGCTTTGGTCTGATTCTGGAACCATGCGTACAACTGTTTCACTTTCAACAGACAAGATTTGACACCAACAAATGAGGAGTATACACTTCTATTTAATTTCGAAAACCTCCAGGTGGATAGAATTTATTCCAAACATCCAAAAA